CCCTTCCCGCAGCACGGAGGTGCCGCCCGGGAGCTGCCGAGCCCCCCGGGGCTGCCCCGAGCGTCGGCGCTGCGCGTCCCATCGGGGCCCGTCACCGCCTCTCCGGGCACAGCTCAGAGGCCTTCGCAGCTCACACGCATCTCACACAAATACCCATCCANCGCCAGCCCGGGCCTCCGGGACCCGCCCGACGGGGCCGCCGCCCTCACGGCCCGGCCTGCGCGCATCGGAGCGCCGGGAGAGCTGCTGCGGGGCGAATGTCTTTGCGGTGACATTGTGGTCACACCGGCAGGGCTCGCCCTTGAAGGACAGCGCGGACCTGCCCCAGGCAGGGCCCCGAGCGGCGTGAGACGAGCTCTGCGCAACGAGCCCGGCAGCCGCTGCCTTTTGGGGCGGCCGAAAACGCCCAGGGTCTTGTAGCACCCCTGCGTGCTGTTGTAAAGATCGGATCTTCCTCCTTCCACAGGATTCTCCAAGATAAAGTATGGTGATTTTAAAAGCGATGCTCTTCTTCTTGAAGAGGAGCGGAAGAGTTTGTCTAGCATGTTGCTCTGTGCAGGGCTGTAAGATTTGGTAAGATTTTGGATTTTAGGTATGAACAGGCTGGTGCCAGTAATGCTTTTTGCACACGATGGTTCAAAACTGCCACATTCCCTCAGATCTGTGTGCTTTTTCACCAGAGGGATGTGTTACACCTGAGAGCCTGGATTAATACAGAAGGCGAACTTCTTGTGGCAGGGCAGAAACATCCAGGGGAGAGTTAAGGGTCAGCTGTCAGAGAAACAGCTTAGAGGGGCTGGAAGGGACAGAAGCACTTCTCTTGGGCTTGTGAAGGTCTCTGCGACGGTGGCCAGGGCTGCTCTGTTCTGTTTTCTCTTAAATTTTGCAGTTTGGCCCTGCACTAACCTAACAGAGGATCTAGAAAAACCAGGAGCGGTGGGACAGTGAGCTGGCAGCCTGTCAGGATCAATAACTCTTAATTTTTTCAGTGCAGACAAGAGAAGTTTCTGGAGTACTGAAGCATGTTAAGCACTCCTATGTAAATCTCACTGAAATCTGGGTTAAGTGTGACCATAAAGGCAGCCTTAAATAAGAGCACTTCTAGGGCAAGACACGATGTTGCAGATGAGCATTGCCAACAGCTGCTGAACCACCACCTGAGTTATCCTTAGACCCTGTAGCACTCAGGGCTGGGTGCCTGATCTAATATAAGATCTATTGAAAAAACATTAAAGAGCTATCTAGAGCTCTGCTATAGACTTGTAAACTACTGGCAAAGTGTGCAAGGATGTTAGGGGACAATGGAAGCTGGGATGATTAATCCTAAAGTAAGAAAGGTGTGAACAGGGGCATATCCAAGCACACATAATGACTCTGGATAAGGAAACCACACACCTGAATGCCCATAAAGAGTTGGTGATTCAAGTGAGATAAACTATCAATATTAATCTGACATTAAGGCTTCAAAGTTAAAACAACTTCAAGATGATGTGTAAGATTTTTAGACGAGTTTAACACTGGCTACAGTTGTCTTTCAATAGAATGAACAAAAAAAAAATGTACTTTTTTCTACAGCAGCTTGTTCAAAATAAACCTGGAAAAAGTAGGACCACACTTTTTTAAAAGAAATGTCAAAATCAAAATCAAGCTAATGTGCTGCAACTTTATAATTTGTTGTCATTTCAAAGTTGTTTAGGCTATTAACATTCATTTAAAGAAATTCAGCCAAAATCCAGACAAACATATTTGGAAATGAAATGTTGACACATGATCTATGAAATGTTTAAATTTAAGTTGTGTTAAAGGGATTGTTGTTTCCTTATTAAATTATTGTCTGCATGTGACTGGAATTTGACAGCTTAGAACAGTGTTTGCGGCGCACCCAAAGTAACATATCAGATTTTTTTGTTGTTGGGTTTGGTTTTTTGGTGGTTTTGGTTGTTTTTTGGTTGTGTTTGTGTGTGTGGGGTGTTTTGTATTGCTTTTTTTGTTTTTCAGTTAATTTTTTGGATGGTATTAAAACCGTATTTTCTCCCCACAACCCAATGGGTCACGTTGCACCCCTCTTTGGGGACAGCCATTTTAGCCTGTTGTGTCACAGCAACATCAGCAATGCTGGCAGTTATAGCTGAATTTGGGTTCAGTGATCACATGAAATGAAGAGCCAACAGTCTCATGTCCCTTTAAATATATTTTTCTGGGAGATCTTGTGGTCAGTCACGTCAGCCCTGATTCAATGAATCATAGTGCAAAGCATAATCTCCATTTATGGTGGTGGGATTTTACATATATGCCAGTGATGGGACTGATTTTTCAGGTTAAAAGAAAGTTTTAAGTAAATTTTTACAGAGTATGAAGATGTATGAACTTCCAGGATGGAACAAGTACAAGTAGACTTACCAGCTTTGACAAACAGAGCTGTAGGGGAGATATAGAGGAAAACCTGCAAGCTCAAGTAACCGCATGCAGTGTCCTGGAGATTTCAGAGCATCACTTACCATTGTGAGAGGATTTGGAATTATATGGGGCAGAATTCCATGTTCTTGTCATTGTCATTGTTATAACTCACTTACAAAGAGAGTTGTAGGGAATCAGTCCTTTCAAGGGTTCCTGTTTCATAGCTTACAAGGCTCTTAGATGTTAGCAGCTCTGTCAGGAGCATGTCCTAGGACTAACTGTGCTTCCAGTGGGGACAGGAGGAAAGGAGGAGAAATATATTCCTCAGCAGTCCTGAGCCTATCTATGCTGTTCCTCTTCCTCTGGTAGCAGGGAAGCCGAGAGAGAGGAAAGAAAGAGCTTGACTGTTTTCAGCTGAAAAGCAGGGAAGAAGGCAAAGAGAATAAATTAATAACACACCTGTGTCATCTGGGTTGTTCTTCATTGCTGCAGAAGCTTCAAGCTGATGTTTCAGAAGCAAAAGCCTTTGCCAAAACCACTGTGGTGCTGTATCCAGGTTTACGCAGACACAGCTCCTGAGTTCACTCCCACCTTTGCAGAACTGTAAACTCTGCATAAAGCAATTAGTTCATCCCCATGGCTTACAGGCATAGACTGCTTCAGGCTATTTGAGTTCTGCATCATGTTCACAAGCTTTATCCTTATCTCCTGTTTTTCACCGCATTTGTGATGTATTTGTGATATGAACAAATAACTCCTGTTCTTTGTTCATTCTTCAACTCAAGTTTTTTAGTGCTGCAGTCTGGAAGACTGGTGGGACTGGTACTGAATTTGGAGAGAATTTTCAGCCAGAAAATGTGCTGGGAAGGTTATAGGAGCAGTGGTTTCCCTGGGTTGCCATCTCCCAATGGATTTTCATTTTGCAGTAGTGAAAATGATCAATAAGCTGCTACTTGTCATTAAAAATGTCCTAGGTCTATCCAAGGATGGAAGATTTGAAAGCAGACAGCCTTGGAAGTTTTAAATTCTGCTTTGAACAAGAGAATGAGGAGAAGACAGTTGTAAAAAAGGCATAAAACTGGTGCAATCTAAAGATTTCTAAATACTTTTAATTAAATAAACATCAAATAGCTCATCTTACATAGACAGGCTTTGGAAAAGCTTGAGGTTAAAGATCTGCTACAAATATATTGAGGGAAAGAAAACATATGGAAATTGTAAGCAATTTTTATGTTAACCAAAAAAAAAGTTGGATACTTTGTATCCTGACCATGGCTATTTTCATGTTGCAATTGACCCACAGGTATTGGTACAGATTTAGAGGTTCATGTTCATTTTACCTGATGCAAGAGTGTTCATTACACAGTTCACAGCATTTCTATTCCCTCTTTTTTTTCACAGGCTCAAATGCCCGTGTGGGAGCAGAGATCACTGCTCTTTGCACTGAGCCACATTTCTGCACAATTAACAGAGCCATCTGTGAAACATTTCTCTCCTTCTGGGATGGACTGTGGGAAGAGCATGAAAGATCTCCCAGCTCTTGAGTGAACCAGCCTGTGCCCATGCTGCAAAGCAGATGGCTCCAGGCACATTAGTGCAAGAAGTGTCCTCATCACTGCTGTCAAGTAAAAAGACTGACACTGTCTCAGCAAAGAGCTCAGGGCAGGAAAATGGGAGGAGCTTGTAAATCTAAACAACATGATGTAAATTGCCAAATATAGTTGAGGGAAAGCCTGAGCACTGAACTCCTGCCTGGTCACACTACTTACTTACTGCTTTGCTGTTACAAATGGACCTTTCCCCCACTCCACACCAAGGGAAAGATCAGCACACTGCAGGGTGGGTATTGAGACATTTGGTGCCATTTAACTTTTACCAGACATCATTCCCTGACCCTTTTCTATTAAGCAGTACAAATATGGTCTTAATGACTCATACAGATGGATGACATACTCTCGTGGATGATAACTTTCTTCCAAACCTTAAATATTTCAATTTCCACCTTGACACAGAAGTGTATGCATCTCTGAAGTTGAGTTTTCATTAACCTTACAGTGTGTGGATGCAATGAAAACGATGCTGTTGAGATCTTCGCATGCTGCCACACACTTGATCAGGCTTGTTTTCCAGGCTGTGTTAAATCACTGACAGCAAAACGTGCCCACTCTTTCATCCTGTACCTGGCAAGGGCAGTAATGCATGACCTTATTCCCAAATGCAGGGTGTGACCCCTGTCCAGTCACCTGCAGAGTTTAAGGCTGCATCACAATCCCTGTTGGGTTTTCATCCCATGCCAGCTAGCCTGGACACGGTTCAGGAGCAACACAGAACTGTTCCCTGTAGGTGCTATGGATGAACCACCAATACTCAGGGGGAAAAAGGTTTAGTGTTATGCACATGAGCAGCAGATTGCAACTTATCCCCTGGGGTCTGATTGCAGGTATTGACTCATTTGATTTACTGGTACAGATGCCACTTACAAGTCCTGGTTAACCCTAGAAGATTCACTGGACATCAGTTGGGACTGGGACGAGGCGTGATTGCAAAGTATTAGTGCAATCATCCATGTTTAAGAATGGAGGCTGGTCCCACCTCAGTGTGTTTCTCCTCCCAGCTCTGTTCTCCATCCTCCAAAAGTGAGAAGACATTAATTAAGTTATGGATGCTCAGTCAAAACCACTTCAGCAGAAGTCAGTGGAAATGTTGACATACTGCTGAGTAGGAGTGAAGGCTGAAGCAGCCAGCCTAGAGGAAAACAAATGGGACCATCCAGCATACATCTCACCAAAGCTTTCAGATGAGGATTGTGGGCCAAAAAAGGCATCTGAGGCTATATTCAATACAGATCAAATAACAGAACCTTAGGTGCCTTTTGTTGGTTGAATCCGCCCGGCCTGGTAAATACGCTCTCTTATGTATGCAGTATCACCTGGGCACCAAATGATTTATTGTCTCTCGGTTTTCGTTTATAAAACTGACAAAGTCAGGGCTGATAAATGTTAAATTCAATCAGCTTATGATAAAAGTTGCTTGCCAAGTGGCGACAGCTGGCCGCCTCAGTAAACATGTCACGTAGCTACCTTCACCCCTGAGGAATGTTGATTGCTATTTGATATAATAAAGCATTTTAAGGTCCAAAGGAAATAGGTAAGGAGGTTAAATGCAACAGATACATAATTGTACTAGCCATAATGTCTGCCACTTAAAAATTTACTGCCAAGTAGCAAAACAGCTAATATCTGCTTCAGTGAAGCCTGCCAGGGCAGTGATAATGATTGTAAGTAGATGTGAAATAATTATAAGCATGATGCTTCCGGATTTACAGGATACCATTGCTGAAGTGTCCTCCAGATGGCTATGGAAGGAAGAAAGCATCTCATTGGGAGGAGAGGTCAGTACTGCTCTGTACAGTTGAGTTCCTCCAGATACATCCACTGTGGCAGGTGGAATACTGGCCAAAGCAAAACCTGGAGTCTGCTGTGAACCATGGCTAACAAAGAGTTCATCCCCACCCCTCCTCCCGGATGTGCTCACCAAATCCAGGCACTGAGTGACACCATCAGCCCTTGGTGCTCTTGAAGCTAATCTATATTGCCTGGCACGAGTCTGAATCTTCTCCTTGCCTTACCCCACATCTTACTTCAAATTAGTGCCTGACAAAGAGATTGAGTCTGAGGCAAGATGCAGTTTGTGAGTGGACTTGGGTCCATACTTAAATGCCAAAGGAGCATTTTAAATTTGGTAATTTAACTGGGAAAACCAGCAGAGCTTGGAGGCACCAAAAGCCATTTCAAACCTGGTAGAGAAATGTGGGGAAGCACCTGTGTTCAGGAAAACCTGCTTATATCTTCCCAAGCTTTCCATTGGGCTAATTAAAGATATTGCCTCTCCCACAAAATTCTCCCCATTTACAATACTGAAACTTTGGTCTTGTACAGCCTAGGAGCAGCAAGACACTGGAAGCCTTCATGTAATATAAATCATAAAATAGTAATATATGAAAACCTGATGTTGACATTTCCAGTGCTGGAAAAGATTCATAGCATGATTTACAGTCCTACCTTCCACCAAGTAGCAGCTATTTTATGAATCACTATTTCTGTCACATTGATTTAAAACAAACCTTGGCATTACCATCCCATGGCAGTCTGGTTGCTGTGAGCAACCTGGATGTTTTCAAGGGACTCATGTTTCATTTGAATACTTTTTACCAGGCTGCAAGAAGGAGAAAGAACTGTAGGTTGAAATAACACAAAACCATCTTGTTTATAAAAACAGGACATGGTAGCAACCAAAGTATTTCAGAGGCAGTAGGGAAATAATTTAATTAAGTTGCCTAAATCTTAATTCCTTTAGTTGTGTAAGATAGCGAAGGTACCTATCATAACTAACATGGGTTCTATGGGAGACGTCCCTGTTGCAAAGCTACAATTGGAGACAGGATATCCCAAAGTACCCCACAGCACCTCCATTCAAGGCAACCAAATCTCACACAAACCCTTTTTGTTTTCCCAAGTGTTGCCTTGATCTTGTTCAGGGAGATTCCCCCTCTGAGGAGCTGTCCCTATCCCCTTGCAAGGGCACAGTTGAAGTCAAAGTCCTGGGAGCCTAGAGGGATTCAGTGAGTGCTGGGTGTGAAGGCTGTTCAGCCAAGAGACAGACCATGCTAATCCCTGCTGAAAACTCCTCCAGAGCGTATTAGACTGGCTCAAGAGCACTCCTTTGCCCTCTGGGGTGGTCTTGCAGTTCCATTTAATAAAATATTCTTGTGTGGTTTTCTTCTAGTGATGTTCTGCAGAGTGGAAATGTGCTGCACATATGCAGAAGGAGACAAACCTCTGTTAGACCCTGCTGGAACTTACTAGAGAAATTTTATTGAAATCTGGGACCAGATGTCTCATCCTTTCTCCATTGCTACATTTCAGGACCAAGTAGTTCTTGCTTAATATTTGCTGTTGGTTCCCTGTCAGGATTACCATATTGTCATATTTAAAACATGTAGTGCTTTAGAGGAAATATCCAAATTCTGGGGGACTCCTAGTCTTTTTTTGGGTGTCGAGCATAGTGAGAATAACCAACAGTCTGATGGTTTCACTGTCATGAACTTTCTCTCCTGCAAAATTCTTCTGCCCATGAGAGAGCTTTTTAGGTCAATATGCCCATGTGCTTAGCACAGAAGAGCTGTGGGTGGCCAGGCAGAGCAGTGTCGCTGAGATCACACATGAAACTCCTGGGATGCACAGTTAGAAGCTGTTAGCTTCTAAGAAAACTTCTAAGCTTTCTAACTAAGAAAGAACAGCAGGTAGGACTGGGAGGGATGGGGAATGGGACTGTGTTCAGTTCATCACATATTGTCTACACTGCTTCTTCTTCCTCAGGGTGAGGACTCCTCACACACCTCCTCTGCTCCAGCATTTGGTCCCTCCCACAGGAGACAGTCCTCCATGGGTTCTTCCCATGGGCTGCTGTTTTGCACAAATTGAAGACCTGAATACCAGTGAAATGTAGACAGAGGGGAAAATTTGAATATATATATATATGTCCTCTTTAAAACAGTCTCTGCAGGTAACTGTTGGATGCAAGACTGGAGAGCAGAAAGTTACAGAACCTGTCATTTTGTCATGACTGGAGTAAAAAATCTGGCATCTAAATTCTCAGGTTAGTTTTCTTCTTCCAAAATTTTCAAAACAAAATTACTGTTCTGCAGAAATATATATGTTACCGTTACTATTCTCCAGAATGGCTCCAGTGGGGTCTAACATGATGTGACTCACAGTACCTAAGGGTGGGATCAATTACTATGACCAGCCCACAAAATCTTGCAATTATTTTTCAATTGCTAATGGGGTTCTAAGTAAATAAATTTTTGAGAATATGTTTGCCCCTATTTCAGAGAATGCAAGTTCTCTTCAAATAAGTGGTTTTATTTGTTTTTTTTAAAAAAATCAGAATATTGATCCAAATGCTGCTTTATTGAAGCTCTGGGAGTTTAAAGGTTATTTTTTGATTAAATTGAATATAGTTTTTTTTTTTTGTGAATAACCATCTTCAAATTTTGTGTTTAGGGCTACTGACTGATTTGATCACCTTACCAGGCTGTTGTGAATTCAAAATCCTGATTTACACTCTGTTTTTGTTCATGGTATCTGCAGAAATGTACCTGGAAAAACTCTCACCCCTGAAATTAAGCGATCCAGGACTTCAGCTTTTTTAGAGATACTTCCATTGTAATGACCTGTGTACCTTCACCTGTTGAAATGGTTTTCCTTGAATGTCTTTAACTGCAAAATTGCAGACAGTACAGAATTTGCTTGTCTGCCAGCATCTGGCAATATAAACAGTGTTAATAAGCCAACAAGCATTTTTGTTCTTCACAGCTCTTTTGGTTAGTAAGCCAGAATGGATCGTGATTACATGGATTACATGGAGAAAGCCTCAGGGCTCCAGATCCCTAAACTGAAATGATGGTCAGAATTTTCCAGACTGACAGATGAGAAAGAAAGGGATAAAAGAATGCAAGGAAATATCAGGGAAATAATTTGTTTCTGATTTGAATAATCATAATTGTCATTCACTCATTTTCAAGTAGGTGTCCTAATTTGTGTCTAGTTCAGGTTTATCCCCTAAGCCCCCATCCCATCTCATATCACCTAACCATAAAGCTGAGTTTCTGTATGTGGAGAAGAGGTGCTGCCCATATCTGAGGAAGGAATAGCAAGTGATTCTCAGGGCTTTGGGAAAGACAAACACACAACCTACTGCCTTCATGCCTTCCTGGAGAGACTTGCATCCTGTACAAGGACATGGAACTGTCTCAAATCCACCAGTGTGGACCAGCCCCAGGCACCTAAATGATGTATTCTGCTTAGACTGGCAGTGAGTGGGTAGAACACAGCTATTTTGTGTCCCTACTTTATCTGAATGTTTTACAGACTACTTTCATATAACACCTCTTAGTGACCTTTCTGTCACCTTCAAACAGGTCCCCACTTGGTCACAGCTTCTGTGCCCACCAGTGACAGCTGCTCAGGCAGTCCTGGAGTTCTTGTTCTAACTCCCTGAACTGAGATTCCTAATCTACTCACCAGCTGCAGCCCTAACCCCCTAACTTTTAACATTATAAACTTCTAAAAATGTCCCAGAATTTGTGCGTCCAGGTGCAATCTTTGCTCTTCTGTATTCACAAGCACTTTGCAAAGCACACCTGTTATCACCAATTAGAGCTGTAGGAAGCTTGCAGAACTTGTATTTCCATGTGGGGAATTAAAAAGCCCTTGGGGGTCTGCAAAATTAGACCTGCCAAGCCTTGTGATTTGTCAATCAGTGTCTGAGATGGCCACCTACTTACACAGGACACTTGCCCCTCCAAGGGGGCTGCAATAACAGGATTTCCCATCACACAATACCAAACCTCCAGTAGGAAAGCAGGTGGGTAAAAGAGGAACCTTTTGCTGGTTCCGGGAGCAGCTTGGAGATGTCATCCAGCTCTGACAGCCCAAGCTGAGGCATCACCTGCCCTGAGCAGAGCTGTGGCTGGGGACTGCACAGTATGAGAGGCAGAAGGCTGGCAGCAGTGACTTCTGCCATGCACTTGCAAATCACACTGTGCTGCACCTGAGAGCATGAGAGCTTCTGCTCACCACCTCCTGTGTGGTCACAAGAAAACCTCTGTCAGCGAGAAATAAAGGCTCAGACCACACTTCAGTCTAAGTTTGTGAGCCAATAGTGCATCCCAGAGGCAACTTGAACAGGACTTGAACTGGCTGATTGCAGGATGCTCCTGGCTCAGATTTTTTACTGCTTGTGAAAAAAATAATCAACCAACCAATCAATTAGAAGAAAAGACCCTCTTCAGGGAAGTCCAGGAGCAAAGGCTGATGCATCAGCTTCCTTCAAGAACATCTTTCCACTGCAGAATGGACTTGTCACAGGTCCTCGTGTCAGTGTTTTCATGTCCATGCAGAGAAGCTGCAGGGACTTCAGTAGAAGGAGACCTTCTCTGTGCCTAGCCAGAAAGATACTGCAGGTGTCAGGGTTGGGGTAAAGGTGTTTGGGATGAGGGAATGGTCTTTGGGAGGAGGCCAGATTACTTGGTGACCTGACTGACTTTAGGAAACCAGTGAACTTCTGGTGAACTCTTGCTTCCTGAGGCAAGAATATGCTCTGTCTTTCCTAGCCTTGCAGACAGAAGTTCTTCCCTCTTATGCTGAGACACTCCTAAAGGCTGCATGTTTCTCACACCCAGCAAGTCACCCCCACTGCTGACTGCATGAGAGAGACTTGACCACAGAGCAGCTGACAAATGCATACATGCCAGTGGCAAGATGGTAGGACATGTGGCCAGTGGATACCAGGAGCGTGCTGTCTCCCAGTGGCAAAGAGGATACTGCTGGCTGGCTGGGTATGGCATGACCTCTGTAAGAATCAGACAGGGGTTTTGCTCAGTTCCCCTGAGGCCATGCTAAGTGGTTGGCATGGCTCAGGCTCCAGCATAGTCCTGAGTGTTTGTGGATGGAAAACAGGCAACTGAGGGACATGAGAGCAGCCTGACACCCCCACATTCACACTTCACTCAGGCGTGCAGGGCAAGAAACTGGAGAATATGCATCTAGCACTTGGTATCATGCCTGTATCAGGCTATTGATATGACAATGGCAATGTCTAGGAATGAACTAAGGGCTTTGGGCAACTTCCCACCTCTTCCTTCTCTCCAAGCCCTGAAGTACAAGTATCTTCACTAGCAGACGATGCCAAATTACATCAAGAAGACGTGTGGGTGGGACTTCTCATACAAAACTACAGAAGTCCAAGCCCAAGTTATCTGTTGCCTTTGCAGCAGGTGAAGACCCGTGAGCTAAACACATTGCATCCATCTGTCTGGTGCTCACCTTGAGTCAGTGATTGGCAGGGGCCATTTGCCTTTCCTGAGCACAGCTCAGAGGTTGTCTCTGAGGGCTTGGCTGGCTGCCTGGCCCTCAAAGGAAAAAACTTTGTGGAAAAAACATGCAGCTTTGTGGTCTGAAGACAGCAGCCCCCAGAGCCCAGCCCTGCTGCTCCCACCAAGGTGGATGAAAACATTTGTAGCTGTACACAAGGAATAAGTGCGGCCCTCAGCAAGAGGAGAGGTGCTGGCAAGGCAGAGTCATGGAGGCAGAAGGACCTACGCCAGGGTCTGGTTTGAGGGGATGGCTGACATGGGAAGCAGCACATGGCTCAGGTACAAGCCATTGGATGGCAGGAGGGAGAATAGGACTTTTGCTTTGCTGAAGTCTAACTTGGAAGCCTTTTCCCCTTTGGTTCATGGATTGTCTAAGTCTAGCAGTATAAAAAAGAAATCAGGAGCTTGGGTGAAATCCCGCAGAAGGGCACAGAGGATGTTTGTGGTGTGGCCTCACCTCCACAAGGGTTTGTTTCCTTCAGCAGTCCTCCCACAGCTCCTGCTTGGCTCCTGGAAGGGCACCATAGCTGCAGAGGATGCTGGCCCCATGATCACGGCTCCAGATGGGAAGGAAATCATAGAATGCTTTGGGTTGGAAGGGCCCTTAAAAGTCCTCTATTTCCAACCCTCCTGCCATGGACAAGTACACCTTTCACTGGACCAAATCCTTGGAGTTGTAATTCCACATGCCCCCAGAACTAACATTTAATCTTAAGACAAGTGTTAAATCTACCTAGGCTTTGAAAACACAGTGATATTAAATCTGAATTTAAAACAGTTTATGCGTAGACCATAACAACATTTTAATGGGGAAAAAATACACAGTCATTTCAAGCTTGAGGAGTTTAAGTACTATGGGTTTGTATAAATGGCTGATATGTTATTTGTTTATTGGGCAATCTGCTTTTTTATATTGTTTGTCAGGCTATATAATTTTAGGTGAAAGCTTTTTAGCATGCTGCACCTGCCAGAAGAACTTTCTTAGTACACAAGTTTCTGCTTCGGTGTGCATAGAAAATAGACCACTAATTGCCTTCTTACCTGTCTAGCACTGTTAACCAGAACCTGGCTGGCTGCTCTGTAAATTAGGCAACCCTATTAATGGTGCTCCTGCATAAATCAGCTGAGCACTACATAGTTGATTTCATTTGAGATTCACAAGAGGATCATTTAGTTAAGAGGCTGGTTTGGGCAAAAGTAGCACTTCTTTATTAAATCCTTGGTTTCCTAACCACAGTGGGGGACAGGAAGTGATCACTTCACAGGACACCTGCCAAGAATGGGAAACCTGGAATCTTTCACTGGGTTTATTTCTTGGGACAGGTTCCTTGCTTCCCTTGAGCCTTTGCCTGTGTTGGTGTGCTCTGGATCTTTGGACTGCATATTACTCCAAGGGGAAGTCATCTTCTAGTTTGGGCTAGTGCTGGGACCATATGGCCCAGATGGCTGTGGGGTTTCTGAAAGCTTCTTTACTACGAGGTGATGTCTCACTTCCTTCAGTTGCCGTGATGAAATTACTCTCACGAAGGTTTCTGCAATGCCACGTGGATTTTATTGACTGTGAAAAACTATTGTAGATGCAATATAGCACAACTGCCTCAAATCAAAAGATCTAATGGTCATGCCTGGCTAGAAACCCAGTGGCTGGGTGTTGCTGTGTTGTAGCTCACTGAGTGGTGTTTCAAGGCTCAGGCATTCATTTGCTCCTTGGCAGTGCAGACACCACCTTTGTCAAGGGTCAGTGCAGGCTGCCCAGAGCTTTTGCAAACTGAAACAAGCTGAGAGTAGCGAGTGTCTCACAATCCCTCTGCAAGCACTCAGTGCTTGCTAAGAGCCAAATCCAGAGGTGCCCTCCCAAGGATCAAATGCCCAATGCATTTCTTACCAGTTGGGAGAGACTCTGACCATTCAACTCTCCCTTAACACACTACAAGACCAGGCAGTCTCCCAAGTCACATCGAGTGTTTTCTGACTGCTGGTTTTTAAAGCCTCCGGTTATTCCCAAAGCTTGGACCAAATACTGAGTTAATGATTACTGGGTGAAGTTTCAGTGGTTATTTTGAGGGGACAGCCTTTTCCAGCCTTCTGGACACCTGAGGCAGGACATTTAATCAATGTCTTTGTCCTTGTCAGCTGATGCATTAAATCAGATGGTGTTCAAGTACATAAAATCATTTCAAGCATTGACAACGTGCTTTCCAGTGTGCAGGTAAGGAGCAATAAAAACTACATGCATCATTCAGAGAATAAAAATCAGGTCAAGTTTTCAATTAAATGTGTCAACCTATACCCATTATGTGTGTGCAGTTCATCATCCCTTCATAAAGATATTGATTTTTTTTTCCTAGTCTTTTATGTAATTGTGGATTTAAATCACAGCCTTATGAACTTGATCTGGACTCGAATTGTGAATCTTATACAGAAATAAATATATAAATACAGACTGAACAGAAGTAGTATAAAAAGTAAGGAAATTGACATATAATAAAGGGGTTTGGAAATACTAGACAGAAACATAATTAACAAGATTAGAACAGAGAAAGTGAAAGAGAAAGCAGATGAAAGAAAGTGGTGGAAGATAAGGCAAGGGGCAAGAAAGGCAAGCAGAGGAGTTTTGCAGATCAGTGGAAATAGTCAAAGCTACATGGATCCTGAATATATCTTATATCTAAATTGCACTTAAAACAGTGCATTATAAATAAATAAGCAAAGCTAAGATGTTACACTGTACAGGAAATGTTTAGATTATTTTATATACAATGGAAAATAGTAGTCATTGTCACTAAGTGAGTGAGAAATCTATATTATTTAATTGCCTCCACTTACTTTTGTCTTAGTGAGTTATCTGTGAGAAAATTCTAGTTACTTTTCCTTGATTTTTTACAACATGAGAGGTCCAAAAAGTTTTCAGAAGGTAGACGTCTCAATTTAGAGAATATATCAGCATTTCAATATTTAGAATTAACCTGTGCTAATGACTGAATGAGCCTGTAAACATAAGAACTAGGCCCATTGTGGTGAATTGCACAGACCAGGAAATACAAGCAAGGAAGCTGGCTGAACAGCTTCAGTTGATACCACATCTGTGTGCTCTCTGACATGGCATTTTGTATGCTGCCCTCCTCCTCCTCCTCGTTCCCAGGGCTCTTCTCTTATCTGCAACATGTTATAGACAAACTCACTTAAAAGAATGCTGCGTTTCTTCTGCTTTGCCTCTGTAGATCCTTCAGCCCAAGACTTATTCACTACTCAAAGGACAAAGGGATGGCTTTTCTTGTGGATTTCCTCCTAGCACTTCCCTCTGTGGAGTTTGAAATGTTCACAGCACCTGCTGAGATTCTGTGATATCAGATATGGAGGGAAGAAAGAAACCTGATGCCTTGATTTTCAAATGAATTTCAGTCATTGCATAACCATATAAATACCTTCTGAAATCCATGTTAGATCAAGTGTCCTAAGGTTAAAAAAGTGTCCCCTAGTTCTTAGTGTCTACTTGAAGCTCTCAGAAGTGCTACTGGAGCTAAGAAAAAAGACTGTGTGGACAGCGCTGGAAGGGGTCAAGACACTTCCAGAGCCCAGTTCTTGTGTCATTGGGTGTTCACAACCAGAGCCCAAAAGCTTCCTTTTCTCTTGGCAGTACCTTGAGCTGATGCAGACCAGAAAAGAAAGGTGTTTGCAGATGGAAACCCATTCTGGAAAATTTAACCCAAGAGACTGACCGAGATTACATTATCTCCCTTTGGTCAGACCTGCTGGAGCATAGCCCAGGTCCTGCTTCCCACTTGGGGAGAGGGATGGTGAGAGCCCAGCCTCCCTCTCTCCTGGCTTCTAGACCCATGCTTCCTTCATGGAAAAGGTCCTTCATGACCTTTTTCCTCCATGCCCAGGGCTGGAGGATGGAGCATTAGTAATACCTCCCAACATTTCCCTGCAGGGCTCAATATCACAATTGCCACATGGTGAGCTCTCATGCAGTCCTCAGGTCCAGGGCAGGGATCTGCTCACTGCTGTGAATATATAAAGGATTGGCTGCTAAGTTTTAAGATGTATCTGTGGAACCTGTGTAGTGTGCAGCAGTTCAAAGTTTGATTAAATGTGGGCAGCTTTGCATAAAAAGATTGATCTGGAGAGACATTGCTGTGGGACAACATCCCAAAAGGAATTCTAACATACTTAAATCCAGCAAAAAAACACAGCAGCTAAGAAAACAGAGCAGGAAAATTCTGTGCAAGGTTACTGTCTCCAGATATTGGCTATTCCTGTCCTCTACTCTTGTTTGGGATGAGCTGTACACCGTTGCTTTTGCTTTCAGAGCCTTGCAGAGGAGGCAGTGACTCCACACCCTCCCTACATGGGCAGCTACTGTGTGTCACGGTTTCCCAGCTTCACTTTCATACCAATCCAAACAATTACAAGGAAAAATTCCCCACATGTTTGGTGAGAGGTAGAGATACAGAATGGAAAATTTCAGCTCAAATAGTTGAAGTCCAGCAAAGTTACAACGGACAAACAAGAGGGGAGGACTATGGTGAGAACTGCCAGGTGCCACTTGCCTTGCCAGGTTCTGTCTGAGCCCCAAACCTCACGTGCCCCAAAGAGCCTGGGGTCTAGGGGAAAAAATAAAGCAGTCAGGGGCTGCTGCAAGAGTTCTTTTTAGATTGATGATTCTACCCTGGATTCCTCTAGCTGTAACTTTCTGGATAAACATATATATATGTATATGTACGTATATGTATTTTTTCCCCTAGTCCTATCTGGTATAATAAACACTGAGTAGAGAACAGAAAACTGTGGGGCAAAAAAATATGAAACAGCTGTGTTTTCAGCGGGAATGTTTACAGTATTCAAAAGTAATTCCTCAGCCCTTCTTACGAGACAGTGAAACTGTGCTTCCCTTTCATTATCACTCTCTGGTGATAATGAAATAATTAATATTGGGGAAGATGGAAAAAAAATCAAAGGTGCAAATTAGAAAGTGTAAAAAGAGACTACATATATAAAAGACTGTACTATTCCCAGCTTTGCCAAGGCAAATTCCCTATGTATTTCCTGGACAAGGTCTTGTTTAAAATGGCTGCGTAAACATGACTTCCTGCAGTTCAAGCTCTCTTCTCTCACACCTTCAGTGTGAAGAAGCTGATGTGTGGTGGGAAGAGCAAACTGAACCTGCTGTGTGCCAATGCTGAATCGCTCAGAGGCCTACAAAAACTTCTTGCCAAAAAAAAAAGCTGATGAACCAGTCTTACTTTAGGGCAGGTGGAATAGTTCGTGCTCTCATTTTATCGTTAGCTCTAAGAGAGAAAGACAGATTTGTTTTCACATGGTTATTGATTATTAACCAGCTTTGTGAAAGGTTACCTTTCTGCTAGATACAGCCATGGTGGGGGGTTAAAAATCAATCTCTGGGAAAGCTCTGTTTCCCAGTCAACTTCTCCCAGTGAGGTCCCTCACCATGGGTAGAGTTTACCTGTGTTGGTTTGAGCACAGATGAGAGAGAAAAGGAGATTATTGTGAATATGTTCCACTCACCTTCAGTACTTCTTTTCTGTCTAAATGTGGATTCCAGAAAAGGGTTTGAGCACTGAGAAGTTGTTAAATATTATACAGATAGAGAAAATCTAACCAGATTATTTTAGGAACTGTGACTGTACTATACTCCTTACTGTTTTACACTCTAATTAGACAGTCAGGGTGGTGGGAGGAATGATAAAACTTCCATAGGTTATAATAGGAAAGGGAGCTAATTGAGTAAGGGTTCACAAATTATTTGTGTTGAAAGGCAAACCAAATGCTCCTGTCATCTTTCCTAGGGAAAAAAGGTAATGCTGCATCCAGATGGCCTTAGTTTTCACTGATCTCAGCAGCCTGCAGTCATGTCTGTCAGACACTGCTGGGGAAGACTTCCAAAGAACAGTGACTCACATCAAACCCCTGAATTAACCATTTGGAGGCAGGAACATTGCAAATGCCCTCGGATTTCAAGAAGCATATTGTATATGTTGGCACACATTTTAAAACCACATAGATATGATGTTAGGCATGTGATCTTGCTTTCAGAACCCCTGGCCATTCAGAGATTTGTATTATATTGCAAAGTTCTAGGCTTCATAGAATACGGAATGAGTTAACTATGCAGATTGTCTCTTCTCTGTCAAACACCGGGCTAGAGGAATGTGATTGAATCTTGAGAAGTCCTTAAAACATGCTTGAATCTAATATGCTAACTCAAGTATTGCAGTGCAGCTATTGTGTGATGTTACTGTAGGACAGCAGCAGCTGTGCACCTGAAGCATTTGCTTCTTGAATATCTGAATCCTGTGCTTGCGCTGAGGATAGTTACAACCTGCTGCTCTATTTAACACTGCTGCTATCACCATCATTATAATTACTGCTACAGAATCGAGGATTCCTTCTTGTCTAATCTTTTGGACTAGCAAGGTTACTGTGAGAATTTCTGTTTATGCATACAAATATCTCAAGGGTGAGTGCCAGAGGATGGGGTCAGACTCTTTTCAGTGGTGTCCAGTGAAACAGCACAACAGGTACAAACAGAAAGACGCAAAATTCCATTTGAATATGAGGAAAAACTTCCTTTCTTTGAGGTTGACAGAACACTGAAACAAGCTGCCCAGATAGATTCTGGAGTCTCCTCTGGAGATATTGAAATCTGGAGTTTCTTTTCAGCCTGAACTAAAACTGTGTTAATTGGGTTTTGGGACTATGTATGAGACACAACACTGAACTTTTCAGCTCCATGGATGAAGTTGGGGGATTTAAGCAAATGTGCCAGCCATAAATATCCCCAAGTTATGAGGGACTTCTGCAGTCCTTTAAAACTTCCTACAACAGGTAAAGTACAGGATCTCCAGCTGAACTGTAGCATACATCCAGATGGGGTTAAGGGTGGGGAAATTCTACCTGTTCCGTTGTTGATTTGTTCCTGTGTGCGAAATGTCCATTACTTTTCTCTGTTTTCAATGGTTAAAACTTGACTGTACATCTCCCAGTGGGAATAAAGATGTTTGTATCAACCATTTTTTATTTTCACTGCCTACAGACTGAGGATGGTCAAGTTTCTCGTTATTCCAAGCCTGCCAAAACCAGACTTGGGGAGTGAAGACGGGGAAGTTTTCAGCAGGGAGATGACAATGTATGTACAGGAGAACCTGGACTCATCATTCAAAGTCCACAAATGAGCTAGAGGCAAGGATGCACCTTTTTATCTCTTGCATTGTGCCTACCCATCTCAAGGCTCTTCTAGTCGGAAAATTAAGACTGTTTAAATGCAGTCAGTGGCAGGGTCAGCTGTGTCTCACACAGCAGCACTTAATCAGGGGAACACTTTGTGCAAGCTGGTGAGAGGCAAAATGTTTACATCAAGTTTCAGGGAAGATTTAAAATGTGGAAAAATCAGCTGAGGACTATTACATTCATAGCACTTGGGAACTCCTTGGAGCACAAAATTCTGGGAGTTTAGTAGAAGATGTTTTGATGTCTTGTATGCACACCCTTCTGCAAGTCCCTCAGGTGATGCATATTGACCACTTTCAGGGATGAATTTGTGTCGGCAGAGCCCAGTTCTGGGGCAAGTGAGGCCATTGGCCATTCCTATCATTCTCATCGGCCTCCTCCATCATCCATTTTCCACATCGAGTGGACAATTTCCCATTCGGGTGGGACACCAGTGCTCAGAGACTTCTCCTGGGAACCCCCAGCTGTGGAAGGACGCAAGCCAAGTATCAATGGCTGCATCCCAGGTCGAGGAAGCAGACAGAGGTGGTCCCTGGGATCTGGTTCCAGCCTCCCCAGTGCCGGGATACCCAGCGGGTATTTTCCTGCACCGCAGCTCGCCACCTTGTTGTCAGAACGGCAAAGCGTGCCCTTATCGCCTGCTCACGCAGGCAGAATGAAAGAGAATTAGCTCTAAATTATAGGAAATTCATTTGCTTTGCAGGGTGAAGTGTTTGCTCTGTTTAGAAACGTTCGTTGTAGAGAGAGGACCGCATTAAGACACCGGGTAATGGTCCTCCCAGGAGATGAATCAATTTGCTCTGGGTTTTATGGCCTCGGGTTTGTTTGTCCGCGCCGGTTCCCCGTGGAAAACCCGGAGCAGTAAATGCTCCAGGTAACAGATCTCTGGGGAAGGGGCTGTGGGTGCTGCTCTGGGGCCGGGGCACAAGACGTCTCCGGATCAGAGGACAGCCGTGCCTGAGAGAGACCTGAGAGGAGACATCTCGGGCGCGGATGGGGGAACTCCCGAAGGGAGCTGCGCATCCCCGCTGGCCGCACGCTGTCTGCGAGCCCCGTCGGGCCGCGCACCCTGCCCGGAATGCCAGGGGATGGAGGGGACAGGTGCCGGGAGCAGGGAGCCCGAGCAGCAGCCATGTCTATCTGTAATTCCCGCTAATAAAATACTTTCTCACTATCCGCACTATAATTGGTTTACAGCCTTTTTTGTTTATTTATCCATAAGAGCTGCTGTTAAATGGCTTGGGAAAGCAATCGCTTAATGGCTCAATATTGAATCAAAGGCTCAGTGTGCTTTCTAAGAGATGGGCAACCCGCGTGAGTTCAGAGCGGAAACTCAAAGTGTAATGGACTGGGCGGGTTTATGATCCCATGGAACCGGGCGCAGGAGCGAGGGACCGGGACCCTCCTGCCTCGC